TCTCCGTTCAGCTCATCGATAAGCATTGGGAAGAGTTTCAAAAGGAGTTTTCCATCATTCTTGAATAGAATTCTGAAGTGTTCACGGACTTCCGCACCTCTCCATGCCAGTTTATCGCAATCTCCAGTTCGGACACTCTTCATTTGCATTTCAAGATTTCCCTCATCACAATCCACAACGTTCGCTGACACTTCAACACCCTTCTCCTCCTTCTTCTCATCTTCATCTGTCGATGACTCCTCATTATATCCTCCTTCTCCGATGATCAAAGGCTTCTTTGATTTCTTACGAGATCCAGCGAAATCAAGAAGGATCGATCTGGATCCATCGTTTCTCAGAACTCCATTTCGATTCTTGCACAACGGACACTTTTGAAGTCGTTTGAATAGATGACTTCTGAGGAAACCAGTAATGAGATCTTTCTTCAATTGAACACTATTTTTGGTGGGCACCGGCTTAAACTGAGTCAATTCGGCGAGTGGTTTATTGGCGAGCTGGGCGATGCAGGCGTCTACATCGTTGAATGCTTTCGCGTCTTCCTCATCAAAAAGATCCGCTTTGGCGAGTTTATCACGAAGAATCGCTTCAAGATCGAATGCGACGTGTTCAACACCGAGTTCGAAGCAACGGAGTTGAGCAAGGAGGAGATGAGCGTTCACTCCGTCTCCTTTGCATGTCAAACGGTGGCAATGGACACAGGAACCTTTGAGGAGCTGAAATTTGATTTCATAATTGTTCACACTCAAAGATGCTTACATTAAATGTGAATTGAAAAAGAAGCGGATTGAAAACGGGCACCGACAACTGAATATGTCCCATGTGTCCTGGACAATGTCTCTCGTACTGATTACACGTCAAACACTGATCAAAAGTGTTGTCCGGGCCGAGAATCGGATCGTAGAGACCGCCGGCAATCGGGTGGCCAACCTAAAATCAAAGAAATATCAAAATTGATGTGTTCTAAGTATTTTTGTACCTCATCGAAAGTTTTGGTTTGTGTGATCTTGAGTACACTGAGCTTATCGATCTCATGTGGAAAATAGTTTCGAAGTTTGAAATTCGAAAACTGCATGTATGGCTCTTCGCCATTTTTGACGAAGAAATCCATTTTACCCTGGAAAATAAAAATGTTTTAGGAAACACTGTATAAAAATGCTGAATTTTCACAGAAAATCCAAAGATGACAACAGTTTTGAATGATAGAACAATCAATAATGCATTTTTCTTTGAAAATTTATTAAAATTATTTTTTTTTAAAGTTCAATTTAGTTCAAAAAAACAGTTTTGAAACTGATAAAAAAGTTGAAAAAAATTATTTTTACGAAGTCCGCAAACACCGTCGCCCCGCAAAGTGAACCCAATGTGCGGAATTAGACGCGCACTGTGTAAACTGAAAGAAACTGGAAAATGATGTCATTTGAAGAGAAATTTTGACTTTTTTTCTTCATCAAAAATCAAAACAATATACTGAAAAAGAAGAGAAGTTGTTCATTGATGAAGGTTAATTAATAGAAAACATCAAATATGATAACACAATGAAGCCGGATTGTATGAGGAAAAAACAACAAATGAACAAGTATGAAACGTCATGGAGAAGCTTTTTCTGAAGGAAAAATGGGGGATTTGCAGACGAAAATCCTTCAAAATTGCGATTTTTTGAAAATTTTCTGGAATAAACCAAAAAAGGAATAATTTCTGTTGAGATTTTGACAGCAAAGCAAAAAATCAAAATCTGCAAGTGATGCCTTTATAATAGAGGTAAACTTCCGGACGCTCAATTTCTGGAAGTTAATTTCGCCAATTCTGCAATTGAGCTTCACTGATAAAACACTTTTCACGCTCAAATTCGAACAGTTTCATAGGTTTAGGAGTTTATTACATGGAATTAGACACAGTGAATTTTTTTGTACGTGTTTTCAAAAGGTTCCATTCGCGGGCTCTGTCTTACTGATGGTCGCAATATTAAAGGCGTAGTAATGTCTTTGGGGAAAATATGTGAAATTGTAGAGAGAAGGTCCAATAGTACCCTAACATCAATAAAAAGTTATTTCGAAAACGACGAAGAAAGATAAAGACCGACGAAGAAGCGAGCTGGTCATTGAGAATGTTCTAGAAGGAATACAGTCTTTTTGCTTTTTTGTCAAATAGGGACGGTTTTCTGAAAATGTTTTTTAGCGTAAATGTGTATCTGTACACTACCGATTTTTGTATGGAAACAAAACTTTTTCAAATCAGTTCTACCCAGTACAAAACTGAAAAATTCATATTTATTCTCGAATGTTCGCTGAAAGATGTTTGTGGAAAGTTCTGGAACCAAAACGATTAATTGGTTTTTTAGCAGGGTAAAACTGATTTTGGAAAAAGTTGTTTCCATACAAAAATCGGCATACTTGTGAAATCGCGGGCCGGCCCGCGGGCCAAGCGGGCC